CCCAGAGTATCCCTGAGATGTAAAGACCTCAGAGCTTCACAGTTGTCATCCTTCTGCTTAGCAGCCCAGGCACGGCTGTTCTGGGGTCAGAGGGTTCTTCTCAAAGCCCAGCTTCACCCTGAACGTGAGGGCTTGTTGTTCCCTTGCAGAGCTGTGAGGAGAAATCCATCCGGAACACGAGCATCCGTGTGGCAGACTTTGGGAGCGCCACCTTCGACCACGAGCACCACACCACCATCGTGGCTACCCGGCACTACCGCCCCCCCGAGGTCATCCTGGGTGAGTCCTCCTGGGTTTTGGGGGGACTCTTGGGGCAGGTGGAGGAGAAGAGTTGTCCCAGGGATGCTGAAGGATGATGGTGTCTGGAGGAAAAACCAGATGAGAGAGCTCTAGTTCTAGACCGTGGCTTGGGAACAAGCTGAAATGCTGACTGGTCCCAAGGTCTTGGTTGTATGGAACAGGGGTATGGAGTAAAGGGATAGTGCAGGGCCTTGAGCTGGAGCTGGGAGTGGAGGAAAAGCCTGTGAGACTTGGGGAGTGCAGACATGAGCTCTTGGGGAACATGGAGTCAGCATCAGCTGAAACAGAATCATCCGGGGGGATGCGACAGGCCTCTTCCAGCACTGGAAAGCTCATGGATAACTGCTAAGTCTGTCTTGGTGTCATCCTGGCAGTTTCAGCAAGGAAGCAGTAGGAATCTGGTGGGACTTGCTGGGAGCACCAAGGTAACTGGCTTCTCTTTGCAGAGCTGGGCTGGGCACAGCCATGTGATGTCTGGAGCACTGGCTGCATTCTGTTCGAGTACTACCGAGGCTTCACGCTCTTCCCGGTGTGGGACCTGCAGGAGGCTTTGTACCCTTCCACATCCTTACTGGGTGGGCACTAAAAAGCAGCAGCAGAGGTGCAAAAGAAGCCCAGGGAAATTCAAGGCTTGGGAACTCGTGCCTTGCTGAAAGGACAAGGTTCAGATCAATTCTGGTTTCTTCACTCTGTGAAGAACAGAACGGTCAAGAGAGGAGGCAGAGGTGGGACAGGATCTGCACCATTCCTGGTGGAGGCTTCTCTTCTCCCCCTGTACTTGTTTAAGGGACCTTTTGTCTTCACCTCTCCAGGCTCTGAATTAATGCCCTGATGCTCTTTTCCTTTGCAGACCCATGAGAATCGTGAGCATCTTGTCATGATGGAAAAAATCCTCGGGCCGATCCCGTCTCACATGATCCATAAAACTCGGTAAGAACCTCTTCCTGAACTCATTCCAGGACATTATTCTGGCTACCAATCCTCTCTCCTCACATGGGGGGAGGGGTCTCACCTAGGTGGGTGAAGCCATGGGAGAAGTGCTGGGAGTTTAATTGATGAGCCTGATGATGAGTTTGAGGGGAAAGGGTTGAGCAGGGCAGAGAGGGCAGCTCAGGCTGGGTCAGTATGTCCCTCACGGCCTCGTCACCACTGCCTTTCCTCTCCAGGAAGCAAAAATATTTCCACAATGGGAACCTGGTATGGGATGAGAACACATCAGATGGGAGATACGTCCAGGAGAACTGCAAACCCCTGCGGGTAAGTGCTGCTCCCTGGGCAACGCCTACCTGCCTGGCCAGCCAGAGCAGCTGTTCCCTTCCCCGCAGCAGGGGCGCAGTCCCCGTCCCCACCCCTCTCTCTCTGAGTGTCCCACCCCCTCTTTCTCTTGCAGTCCTACATGCTGCACGACTCCCTGGAGCACGCCCAGCTCTTTGACTTGATGAGGAGGATGTTGGAGTTTGACCCTTCCCGACGGATCACGATCTCTGAAGCCCTCCTGCACCCCTTCTTCGCCGGCCTCTCCGCCGAGGAGCGGATGTTGTGCGGCCGTGGGGCCAGCAGGGACCTCAGCAGATGACAACAGGGCAGGTGTGACAACCTGCTCCCAGCTCTACAGCCAGGATCTCTCTGACCACTGCACTTCAGCCCCACTCCCTCTCTTCTCTCTTTGAGTTTGGAGGGGCTGGGGCCCTGGCCATAAGGACCCCGGGGAGGGAGGTGGGGGTGCGGGTTGGGAGAGGAGCTACATTGGAAAGCACAGATTTATTTATATGTTGTAAAGTTAAAATAAAAGTGTTTCTTATTGTTTGATACTTCCCTTGTAGGCAGGTGTAGGGGTCTCTTGCTCCCACTTCTGCCTTTCACAACGAAGAAAGATGGAGATGTTGAAAAAAAAAAAAACCAAACAATGAACTGGAAATGGAAGCAGCAGGTTTTTTTTGCAGCAGTAATTTTTGCTTCACTGGAGGCTTAAAAAGTGAGGGTGAGGGGATGGATTCATCTGGTTTCTGCCCCAGAGCATCAGGAAAGCTGCCAGCAGACAAATAAATAGCTGCACATGAACAGCACACACGAAGAGTTGCACTTTATTTCAGGGCATCCCCCAGCAGTGGCAAGAAGGAGTCGTTACAAACAGGTCACAAATGGAACAACCAAGCAGTGACAGAGCAGTGACCTTCACATGGCAGTGACCAGAGCAGCACCCCTGGGCAGTCCCTGTGGTGGTGGTGAAAGCTGGGGGGGTTAGAAAATCAAACACAGCTTAAAAGAAGTGGTCCAGTCTTTAAATTCACTCTGGTAAGGGGGAGAAGAAGGGCCCCCAGGCCCCTTTCTGGGGCTCAGAGTGTGTTCCAGCAGAGCTCAAACCTGCAGAGAAGCAGGGGGTGAGGTCACCACTTCCTCAGGGGAGCCTTTGTTTCTGAGGCCACATTCCCCACAGCTCAGCTCCAGGAATCAAACACAAAGTTTAACTGAGCCCAAAGCTGCCCTAAATGCCCCATGCAGGGAGGACTGGGGAGTCCATGATGGTTTGTACCCTCCAACGCTGGTCACTATTGATTTTTTTTGCTGCAAGGTGGGGAAACCCTATTGCTGCAGGGCTGGCAATGGAGCCCTGACCCCACCTGCCAGCCCTGCACAAACATCTCCCTGGGTCAGTGCCCTGCTGGGCATGGCACTTCAGCCAGGGCCACAGCAGTGTGGGGGCAGGAAAGGTCCCTAAAGCCAGGAAGATGCCTACACAGGTGCAACCTACAGCTCAACAGACAAACAAACCCAGCAGAGGTGAGAAAAGCCTGGGGAAGCAGACATGGAAAGGGCAGGTTGTCTCTGCAGCAAGGAAAAGTGGAACCAAGGTGGCTAAAGCTACCACTGGACTACAGCAAGCCCCACCTCTGGAAGCCACCCACTGCCCCCTCTGGCCTGGCAGAGGGTTAGAAGAAGCTGCAACAGCAGAAGGAAGAAGAAAGGCAGAGAGAAGCCTCGTGTTTAACTAACTCACCTGCCTGCCAGCCCTTCCCGGGGTGTCTGAGACAAACCAGAGCACCTTCACTGCCACTCCAGCTCCAGCTGAAAGGTGCTTCCCCTGAGGAGGAGCTGCTTTGCCCTTTCAAGGGGACAGGAATGGCAGCCCTGCTGGTCACCAGCCTCTCCATGCAGAGCTCCAGGCCAGCTGGCACAGTGGGGTCCCCCAGCCCAGCTCAAGGAGCCAGTGGTCCAGACCCCCAGAGGGGCAGAGCCCTCGGTCCTGCTGAGGTAGATACATGTGGCTTTTGATCCAAGCAGACAAAAAGCCCTGTTTGAAGCCCTCAAGTTCTCCCAGCTGCCAGAACAGGGTCTGTGCAGGGTTCAGGTACCTGCAGGAGCTCTGGGGACAGGTCAGGTACTGCTGTGCCCGTGGCATGGGGAGCTAACACGGAGCCCAGGACCTTGTGCTTCCCTGGGGCAGCTCAAAAAGCCTTCAGAGAGCACACACAGATGGATCCTTAGCTTGTTCCTGCTCTAGGCACCGCTCCAAGGCTCCACCAGGACAACAAAATGAATGTAGGAATAGATAACACCCTGGCAGTGCATGGGAAGTGCCCAAGAGCAGGGAGCAGAGCAATCTGGGGCAGCCTCTCTGTGGTGATTCAGTCCAGAACCTGGTGCTGTGCCCCTCCAGGAGGGCAGCAGCTCCATCTCCTGCAGCCAAACAGGACTGTGGAAGCTGAGGAAGTCCTTCCTCAAGGTGGTTCCCAGCACATGGGTACACACAGGCATGCCCACCCTATCCACAGGCTACGAGCCCAAAGGGAATAACAGATCCATGACCCACCTCCCAAAGCCCAGTGAGTGCAGAGGGGATACTGGAAAGCATTGGGGGAACTCACCCAACCACTACCTGCACCACACACCGTGCCACAGGGTGCTACTGTCCTGCTTCACTGTGCTCTCCCTGATTCAGCCTCTCACTGAGCCAGAAAGAAGGAGAGAGAACAACCCCAACCAACAACCCTGCAGAAGTTGTCCCAAAACACCCCTGGTCTCCTGTAGACCTGGGCTTCACCCACTAGAGCAAATAAACAACAAGCCAACAGAGTATACAAAGCAAGTAAGGCCTAGCTGAGGACACAGGTGTTCCCAGAATGTGTGACCCAAGAAATTCTGGCTCTTGCCATGAGCCTTCCATGGAGGGAATGCTCTCCTGGAGGAGCTGCAGGTCCAGGAGGCAGAGCAAGCTACAGCTGCCTTCAGGAACAGAAAACAGAGGAAACAGAGGAGGGGGGAGTAAAAAAAGAACAACAGAACCAAACCAAATCCTCCCTCCCAACCAACTGCAGCAGAAGGTATCTCTACACAGCCAAGGGCACCCATTGGGTGCCCACCAGGGCACCCTTGCTGGGTCTATCCGCCCAGAAGGACCAAGAAACACAACTCAGATCTCCAACCTCTTGTCCCACCTCCACGTCCCTCAGCAAACAGGCTCCTGGCCATGCCAGGGCAGCAGCAGCTGCCTCCACCAGGGGCCAGACACCACCTTCCTGCATGTTCCTTCCTACCAGGACACAGGAGAATGGACACAGCTTTGCAGGAACATTTGCTTCCTTCTTTTTTTTTTTTTTCCTGTTCCATTTTATGAGTCTTTTTCTTTTCCTTTTTTTTTTAAATGTCTTCTTCTTTTTTATTTTTTTCTTCTTTTTTTTCTTTTTTCTTTTGCAATACACAATGATTCTTCTGGAAGGAAAACTCCTCAGAACTTCACATCCTTAAGGCGAGTTTACTAAGTCAAGATCCACTGGACAGCTTATTTGACCTCCTCCTCCTCTTCTTCATCCTCCTCCTCCTCTTCCTCCTCCTCCTCTTCTCACCCTACAGAGCCTTGTGGCTGGACAGGCTCTAAGTGGAATGCAGGGGAATGACAAATTTGCAGCCAAAGGGTGAGTGGTAGTTTATTCCCACTTCCTGAAAGACCTTCTGGGGAATGCCAATGTCACAGAGGTACACACGTCCTGCCCTCTCACCCAGGGGCAGGGGCAGACCCAGGGCCAGGGACCACTTGGCATCAATGCCCTGTTCCAGCTCGTTGATGGGAGGGTCGATGCTGAGGACGGGTGCCCTGTTCTGGTTGGCCCAGTCCACAACTGCTTTGTACCAAGGCTGATCCCTCAAAAAGGCATTTTCATGACAATCCAGGCAGTTGATCACCAGGTCAACGGGGGTATCTGGGAGATCTGAAAGAAACACAAACTCTGCTGAGGACCAGACTGACACCAGTGCCTTCCCCACCTGGTGCTGCCAGCAGATTGCTCAGCTGAAGACTCCAGCACCCACAATCCTGCTGCAGAAAAGTCTGACCTTACCTGCTCTTGCTGCTGTCCTACCACATATGATGCTATTTTAAAGCTCTTTAGAACCTTCACAGAGCCTCAGGTGCAACATCTCAGCAAGCGGGCAGCACTTGAGCAGCCCTAGAGGCTGCTGCTGAGCTGGCTCACCCACTCAGGGGTGCACTCTCTTGGTTATAAAAGGACTGGTTTATATTCCACCAGCTGGAAAAAAAAAGGGCCTGTTTTTCTAGAACAGGCTGATCACCTCTGCTATGGAAAGGCAGCTCCTGTGCTGCCTACCCCACTGAGCTCCATCAGTCTCCCTGCACTCACCTCCTCTGTACCATACCCACCTCACACACCACAAGGTCCTCAGAGCAAGGACCCCTGTCCCAACAGGCAGGTGGCTCAGCCAGCCCAGGCAACCCCCATCCTACCACAACAAAAAACCTCCTGCTGTTCCCTAATTCCCAGGTTCGTTTCTCCCAAGGAGTTGAAAGCAAGCAGGTTTGAAAATAAGGCTGGGGAAGTAACAAAGAGCAGCCAGCTCATCTCACAGAGGATGGAGCAGCAGAGATCTGCACAGGGCCAGCTCAGTCAAGCCATCTGCTTGGTGTGGAGCAGCAGCTGGTTGCTCATCCACTCCCAGATTTCACACTCTGAACAAGGAAAACCCTTCTCCTAGGAGCAGCTGCTCTGACTCCCATCCATACGGGCAGCTCTTCCCTATGTGCTCCTACAGGAAACCTCTGTTCCAGCACAACTGCTCCACTGTTCAACCTCTGGGTGGCTGCTGTCCCTCCAACATCTGCCTCTGGCCGTGCCACTAGATGGTGCCACCACACCGGGCAGGCACCGGGGAGCTGCAAGACCCAAGGGCAGCGGGGACCAGATCTGCTCCTTCCTCCCTCCTTTTCTCCCTCCCCTCCTTTTTCCTCCCTCCCTCACCTTTGACGCTGGAAACCTGCTGGCCTTGTGTCTTGCTGAAAAGGTTCAGCTCGTTGGTGATGGATTCCAGCATCTTGACAAAGTTGGGGAGGAAAAGGATGACATGGACATCGTGGTTGGAGAGGTGGCGCCCACAGCTGATCCCCTGGGCCCCCTTCACGTGGGGGCCACACAGCAGGGCCACCGTGGGCCTCTGGTGCACATTCTTGGGGTTCAGCCTGAAACACAGACAAAAAGGGGCTGTCAATAAACCCAAGACACTCTCACCACCTTCCTGCAAGTGTTAAAAAAACAAAAATCATCAGTAAAATGCAAATCACCAGGTGTTTTGCAAACCTTCCGTTGCCTCAGAAGAAGGAACCCACATCCTTTTTGTAGGGCTGACACCAGAGAGCTGCTCTGCTTGCAGGGTCCTCCAGGACTTCCTTGCACCCACAGCAAAAAGCACAAGGTCTGTCTTGGTTTATCATGGAGCCAACTCGTCCTAAGAAAGCAGGGGGCATTTGCACTGCTCACCTAGCAAGTCTGAGGTTGAGGGGATTTTGCTTTTAGGAGGTTTTGCTCTGCCCCTCTGATTTAAGAAGGAAGCTAATTATACAGTCTGCAGTCTTCAGTTCTGGACCCCCAACACAGGAAGGACATGGAGCTTCTGGACAGAGTCCAGAGGAGGTCACAGAGATGATCTGAGGGCTGGAGCAGCTCTGCTCTGGAGCCAGGCTGGGAGAGCTGGGGTGTTCAGCCTGGAGAAAAGAAGGCTCCAGGGAGACCTTAGAGCACCTTCCAGTGCCTGAAGGGGCTCCAGGAAAGCTGGGGAGGGACTTGGGACAAGGGCAGGGAGGGAGAGGACAAGGGGGAAGGGATGAAAACTGGAAGATGGGAGATTGAGGTGAGACATGAGGAGGGAATTGTGGAGTGTGAGGGTGGTGAGAGCCTGGCCCAGGTTGCCCAGGGAAGCTGTGGCTGCCCCATCCCTGGCAGTGTTGAAGGGCAGGCTGGATGGGGCTTGGAGCAGCCTGGGCTGGTGGGAGGTGTCCCTGCCCATGCAGGGGGTTGGATCTAAATTATCTGGAAGGTCCCCTTCCACCCCAAATGAGTCTGGGATTTGATACAACCTTGAAGCCACGGGGTGTTCCCTTGACAGCAGAGCCACAGCTAAAAAGAATTTCTCCTCCTTAATCCTCCTCAACTGCAAAATAAACGAAACCAGCCAAGCTCAGAAGGGGCAAGGAAGCAGCTTTACCTGTTGGGCCCCCCCAGGAGGCTGAGGGCCATCTGGCTGGCACACACTCCTGTCATCTCCAGCCTCCTCTCCAGAGTCAGCCCGTGCTTCTCTGCCACCGAGAGCAGCTTTTTGTGCAGCTCGTAGGACACGCTGGGAACCACCAGCCCCGAGTCTGAGGTCCAAAGAGAGGGGAGGGAGGAAGACACAAAGAGGTAAAAATCAGAGACATCCAGAATGCTGCTGACTGGTGAGGTTTTTATATGACAGCACTTTGAAATGATGACAGAAAAAAGGCTTGGTGGCTGTTACCAAGGGTCTGTGTAACCCAGGAAGGCAGGTTCCTGCAGAGATCATCACATGAATCCAAACTGGGGTCTCAGAGTCAGCTTGGTCTGCTGGAGTGGAGCAGAGACAGCTGAACTGCTGGCCTTGAAAGGACAGGTTTCCATCAAATCCAGCAGCAACTGGCAATCTTAGGATGAGAGGGGAGACTGAGGTGGGACATGAGGAGGAAATTCTTTGCTGCGAGGGTGGTGAGAGCCTGGCCCAGGTTGCCCAGGGAAGCTGTGGCTGCCCCATCCCTGGCAGTGTTGAAGGGCAGGTTGGATGGGGCTTGGAGCAGCCTGGGCTGGTGGGAGGTGTCCCTGCCCATGCAGGGGGTTGGATCTGGATGATCTCCAAAGCCCCTTCCAACCCAAACCATTCCATGATGATTTTAGCAACAAGAGACCTGAGAAGGCCTCTTTGACTCACACATTTCTCAATCTCCAGGCCACCACTGCTTTTATCTCCCACCCATGGCCAAACTGCTCCTCATCACTGTCAAAGTCTGAGAAGCTGTGAACCAGATTTCCCACCAAGAAAAGCTTGGATGCATTTATGCTTCCTGACACCCAAAATTCCAGCCTCTGACCCACACAGGACAGAAAAACAAGAGGTTCCCCAGTTATGTGGCAGGTGTCCCCAAAAGGGCTGGTTTGAGCCACAGAAGCTGAATCCTGAGACACAGAAGCAGCAGGGGATCAATGCAGCTGAAAGAACATAAAGGCTGTAGGAAAACACTTCTCAGACATTTTTGACAGCCTGGTCTGTGAGCCAGGAAATGCTCCAGCATGTGGATCCAGGGCAAACAAACAAGAAAGGTTTTGTTAAGCATTGAGAACAGAATCCTCCTGCTCACTCCTCCAGCAAGCTGACCTGGAACCAGCAGGTAAGAAAAACACAAACCTGAGCAACTGTTCTGACTGATTCTTTATACCTTCCTCCTCCAAGCTGGCACTGAATCACAGACATAAGCCCTGCAGTCACATCTGTCAGCTCTCCTGGAAACAAATGCCACCAAACACCTTGTCACCAACCAGCAGCTCTGAGGGAAGCCACAGCAATTTGTTTGTGTGGTGGGTTGACTGGTGGAAGACAAGGAAACTGAAAATCCTCCCTGGAGAGAGAAGTGCAAAATGTGACAGGACACTGCTGCAGCAGCCAGCCAGAGATCCCTGGGTGTCTTCAGCCCCAAGAACCAGCCTCTTTATTCTAACTTCAGCAATATAATTCTGAGATCCTTTGCTCTGTGCTTGATGATTTGCTCCTTTGTGGAATCAGAAAAACACACTATTCCTTGTTTAAAACTGGCCTGAATGTCCCTACCTCTCTCCCAGCAAAGGAGCAGCACAGCTTAATTCCCTCTCCATAGGGGATGGGCACATAGCTGGAACACAGCTGCCAGCAAGGAAGGCTCCTTCTGTTGACATAATTCATAGGCACTGCCCTGAGTTGTCTGCTGAGCTCTGGGAGTGTACTCTTAGTTCCTACTCTGGCACAGGCAGAGGAATCACAGAATTGATCTGGTTGGAAAAGACCTTTTGGATCATTTAGTCCAACCATTAACCCAACTCTTCCAAGTCCAGTGTTAAATCATGTCCCTCAGCACCACATCTAACACAGCTTTTAAACACAGCCAGGGATGGGGATTCAACCACCTCCTTGGGCAGCCTGGGCCAGTGTTTAATTACCCTTTCAGTGAAGAAGTTTCTTTTCACATCCAACCTCAACCTCCCCTGGCACAACTTGAGGCCGTTCCCCCTGGTCCCATCCCTTGTTCCTGGGGAGCAGAGCCCG